ATTTATCATATGTTTTAAATGTAAAACGTAAACAAACAACAGCTGATTAAAAATAAATATCCCACAAGGGAAATTACTAAAAGTTGACTTATGTGTCATATGTAAAATTCTAACAAATAAGAGCTGAGCTGTGCACAAAAGCACTAAGGGAGTAAGTATTTAATAAAATCTTTGTTTTTATTAATTGAATATGTAATTGATATATAAAATATATATTTATAGTTGATTTAATAAATCAATTATATATTTAATTCTTTTATGTGATTTGTTTAAACAAACAGAGGCAGTCTTAGAACTTTCAAAAAACTTTAAGTTGCTTATTAGTTACTTTAAGTACTTAGGACGTGTGTGAGTTAGGCTAAGTTAATGCTAAACCAAATGGGAGATTTTTTGGAATTTTTTGCACTGCACACTTTAAGCCATTTATCAACACGTTTCGACACATCACCATATTATCGGCACAACTTAGAATTTCCCTCATTTAGAACGCAACTCGCACACGTCCTTAGTAAGTTATTTAAGTACTTACTAAGTAAGCAGTGGAAACATGGTATTAGGTCGCTAATGAGAATAATTTACCATACAAAGAGCTTTCATATAAATTAACACATTATAAATAAATCAACTCATTTAAAGCATAAAATGTGGAATGCAACCCTTAAAACTGAATTTCCCACAAGCGAAATTACCAAAATTTGTTATAGTTATCATATGTTTTATATGTAAAACATAAACAAACAACAGCTGAGCTGTAAATAAAAACACTGAAAAAATAAGTATTTAATAAAATCTTTATTTTTTAATTGAATATGTAATAGATACATAAAATATATATAAATGACTTAATATATTAATTATATATTTAATTTTTTTGTGTTATTAAGTGAAGTTTATTTATTTCTAAAAAATAGTGAAGTACGTACTAGTATTTAATAGAGTTTTTGGTTTTTAAAAATTAAATATGCAATATATAGAAAAAATAATACTATTTGTTGTTTTTTAATAATTATTAATTTTCTTCGCTGCATGTCACTTTGCTCTCTATATTCACCTATTACTTTACTCACATTGTGAACAATTTCTCAAACATTATATATTAAATTATTAGCATTTTCTGCGTTTTCCATACTGAATTAATTAATTTCTGGTAACAAAACAAATTTAAATATCATCTGCTAACAATTGATATGTAAACAAAGAAATGCTCTACTATGACTTTCTGACACATGTATAAATCAAGTCATGCCGATGGAAACGACCAACTCTTGATTACATTAACATAAGTAGTTTTAGCTGGCAGTGGAAAAATAATATAATGCAAATTTAGAGCAACATTGGCTTTTGTGTAGTTTAATCAATATAGTTGAAATCACTTATAAAATCACTAATATAATCACATTTGGCTTGCCATATACTCACAGACAATATGCAACCTTTTACGGTGAGATAAAGTGTATTCTTTTGACATTAATGCTCCAATAGAACACGTGTCGCTTAAAATTGAATATGCAAAGCAAAAACGAGTTGTTACAGATCACAACGAGTTCAAACGAAATAAAATTTTCTTCTCTTAAAAATATCTGAAGAAAAATGTTCACCTAAAACATATGTTCTTCGACAACGGAAAATAATTTATCTGTAGAATCTGGGAAATATATATACGCTTATATTTTCTGAAATAATATAGCTGATTGCTTTAATATGTAATTATAAATGATTTACTAAAGATACATACTTCTCTGTAAGTATTGTTATAATATTTATTCTTTTATTTTATATTATCGCTTAAAACGACTATCGGTTATAAGCACCGGATTGAGCCGATCTTTCAATGTCGTATTAACCGGTATCGACCGGTTTCAACACCTAAAAATATTTGGAAATATAACAATATAATTTTACAGTAAAACTATGTAAATTTATATATATACATATATATTTAATACGATACTTTAATACTTTATTTAAATAATATAATGCATAGCTTTACTGTTAAATCAAATGTTATATTTCCAAATATTTTTAGGTGTTAATGAATGTTTCCAAACACTACTGACTATAAATATTGAACCATACTCGATATAACTATATACATGTAGTGTAATGTTTGAAAAAATTTGTTAGTTTAATAGTCCATATATAAATTTTAGATTGCAAGTGTCGGGTTTCGAAACTGTGATCGAAACCGGTTATTGCGACATTGTAAGAATCGGCTCAATCCGGTAATTATAACTGTAAAGCGAATTGTTATACAACATATTAATTAAAATTTCAACATATTTTAAACAATAAATTTTATCACTTTTTGCTCCAAGTAGTACGCTTACTATGAACAATTCTAACTTCGTTTTTTTGATGTCTTCATGGATGCCGATATCACTGCGGACTCCATTTAGAGATTTTCTTGAGATATATTCTCAATATTGCAGGAACAACTATATGATCAATAAAAAAAAATTTAATTATAAAAAAATGGTTTTAGATCCTAGAAATCTTTTTTTTTTAAGAGAAGAAATATATCAACACAATTGTAGAAAGCCACAACCGATTTCTTAGTGCACTAACTGTAGGTCTTCTAAACAACAACTTGTCTGCAAAATGGTTGGAGACGTTGTTGACTTAGTGTTTAAATATAATTTTAAATTAAGAAAATTACTATTTATTACTATTTATACACTATTTATAACTATTTACTTGGCGACAGAAAGGGCCTATTCGATTGCTAAATCTGGATTCAATCTAAATTTTCTTCTCGTTCTTAGTTTCAGTTTCCCCTAGTGGGGCATAGGTTGTGACCCTATTTCCGGCATCCTGTTTGCAAACCTTGCAAGGTACATGTAGAATAGTAGTAGAATATCACATCGATCATTTTAAACATTGTTTGGTGATGTTTCAGTGTAATAAAAATAATATTTTCATACGGTATGGGACAGTGGATGGTAGTCACCTAAGTTGACAGCAACCGACAAAATTCTCCTAAAGCGATATTAATTGCAAATATCAGCTAGTAAGAGTTTGGGACTCTGTACTAAGTAAGAGTTCTGTACTAAGTAAGAGTTAATATTTTTGAATAAGTGCGATATTTTAAATCAGGGCTGTCGAGACAAGATGTGATCGCGGCCCAATACAAACAATATTTTCTATGGCTAACATTGAAAAAATTTTATTTCTTCTTAATTTTTTTTTTGGAAATGAAAACAAAAGCTATTATTATGTATATTTGATATACTCGAGATACAACATTAAACCATGCAAAAGGTTAGCATGACACATTAAATTGTTTTTCTTGCCATATTATGAAAACGTTCTTTCTTACATTTTTATTGGACACTAATCGAAACGCATTGAATACATTCTTCTAGTTGTCGTTAACTGCAGCAGTTACTACTTCCTCTGCGAACTCTCCCCGGTACAAATGTTTTGTCTTTTCATCTTGGCTTTCAGACTGTTATATGTAACTATTGGGTGCTTCTTGAACCAGCTCTCTGTTTAAGCTCTTCTGGTTTAGTACCCGAATCACAAATAGGAAACTATAAGGTCGAAATTATTAAGTCCTTTATAGACTTAGGAATTATCATTAACGAATATTATCTGCTCCATGTCCGGCAAGGGGGATGGAATATCTGCAATAAAAATATTGACGCACTCAGGTGATCGATGTATGAGTATGCTCTTCTTGCTTAAGATTTTGAATATAATTTGCAGTAAGGAACGATATGCTAGCAATACACTGAAGTCATAGGATTCTTGCCACAGAAATGGTTATGGGGCCATGATGGTGAGAGAGCTTAAGTCTGTTGGACACCAAATTAAGATTAAAGAAATGAAACATTTGGGATCAAATTTACGATCAAGTTGTTATCTAAACAAAATACATTCTTCTTATAAAGCTCTTATCTGCACCTCTTATCTGTCTTTGAGAGACACATTTTCAGGCAGATATTTGATAAAATAAAGGAAAACGGTGACTGAAATTCATCAATTACATGACCAAGCAGATATCGTAACAGGCATTAAAATCTCTTGTGAACCGAAAAAGGTTGCACACCTCACACAGTATGAAAAACGCAATTCTAGGGAATTAAAAAGCAAACCCAAGCAAGATGGATAGACATTGCGATAATTAGTTGACAGCAGCAAATGAAAGAAACTATTGAATGCAACTTCTTGAGATCTTTAAAGCTGAATCGTGACTACTATAACCATGAAAAAAGGTAGATAAAACACAAGGATCGAATTCTCTTCAATTAGCTAAGAAAGCAGTTTTGATTCCACATTTCCCGTAATTGTGGGTAGAAAGTTGGGCGATCGGACCAACATCAATATTATAAATATCATCGAGTGTGTTAAAGAATGAAACTTCCAAAAACTTAGGCCTGGTTTTAGAAAATCCTATTTATAAACACAACAGGTATTCCGGTTTAATAATTATAAAATTTATGTAAATTGATATTAAATAGGGCACAATTGTGGTTAAGAATGATTTTTATTAGTTGTAAATATTTTATTGAATTAATATATAAGTATTAAATTTTATTTCGATCGATTCCACGAACGCCGATAGATATGAACTATATGAGATACGACAAGGCAGGTCAGGCTTGGCTCTATGCCGCCGTATAGTCCAGTATCCCGTTAGGACGATGAATACAGGTTAGGTTAGGTTAAACCGGCAATCAAAAGTAATCCTATTGGCCCATTGTGTTACCGTATAAAGGAAATACTTAGAAGTTTAAAACCATCATGAACCTTTGGCAAAGCTTAAACTGCTAATTAATGGTTTTCATCAAGAAAAAAGAAACAAAAAAAAAAACTATTGAAATAGACTTCTTAAGACGGATAAAGCTGAATCACGGTTATTATACCCACTAATAATTATGAAGAAGAAAATAATGAAAAAAAAACGTATTTGTTTTTGATTAAATTTATTCCAAATATATAAGTATAAAATACTAGAATCCAAAATTATTAAAAAAAAATATAAATGACCGAGAGATTAATAATTATTTTTTATTTGTCGTAGTATTGTTCAACAATTAAATTTTGGAGGCCGCTTGGTTAGCGGCAATTCATTAAAATTTTTTGCCTACATATCGATATGAATTTTTGGAAATCCAAAAATGAATTTTTTTTTTTGGATTAAGCGTCCGAAATAGATTCTTGAACTAAATATAAGAAATGTTTACATATTATCTTGCTTAGATTCCTTATAACACAGTTTTCGTCGATCTGAAGCATTTGAATTTTATCTAAGGCATTAAAATCACGTAATGCAAAAAAAGTGTCACACACCAGCGATCTGAGCATATTGTATATAGATGATAGGCAAATGATAAGAAAATCATTTGCATTCCCGGTGAGGTATTCACATAGAACGGGTATAACATGAGTATCAATGAGTTTTTCAACATCATAACTGTTAGCATAGACGGTGATATTTTTTATCACTTTGAGTGCAAAATATTTGGACTTGATACCGTTTTCATTAAATCTATATAGAATGGAAGGTATTAGACCATGCACCACCAGCTGATGAGAAAGCCCATTTTTTGCATCGGTTAAATGATACAGAATCATCAGTGAACGCCTACGTATTTTCTCATTTCCATAACGAAGTAAATTGTGAACATTATTTGGGGATATAAGCAATATTTCCGGATTTATTTGAACATACAAAATGACACTAGCTTCATCAACAAATTTTAAAGCCAGCTTTTTTATATCATCGTTCTTATGAACTATTAACTTACAAGCGGCACTTAAAATTCCAGCTGTATGTAGTGGCACAATTCTAGCCGGGTGCCTGATTAATTCCCGCAAACCTCTTATTATCAACTTTAACTGTGGAATATCAGCAACACCCAGCAATGCTTGGAATAAATGCAATGCATCCTTCGCGTATTCCATAGTTAATGCCACAGAACTTTTGAAAATGTAATACAGCATAATTGCAATCACATGATAATGCTTCCTATTTAAATAACTCCTTATAATAACCAGAAGATGCTTTAGTATATCTCGCTTAATAGTATAAAATAGGACCGTTTGACTCTTCAGTAATACCCTTTGCAAGGTAACAAAGAGCTTATCGAATACTATTAGTTCAATGCGAAAAATGTCTTCAAAATCGACGGAAGACACAGTTGTTAGTTTTAAGGAATTTGGTCCATTAACCCTTCTTGCGGCTATACTTATTAATGTCAATATACTTTCCACCTGAATAGAAACTTTTGGATGATCCAATGACTTAACTAATTTTGGCAATAAATTTTCCATTCCTGGCACGAACACTTTAATTTGACGTAAGATAGTACCAACTGTTTTAATAGCATCCGCTTTATGCTCTTCTACATCCATACATTGAAATGTCAAAAACAGAGTGCTAACCGATTCATCCAAATTCTGAATCTATAATATATAAAATAAATTAATATTGACTCTTCAAATTATGTTATTGAAAATAATGTTCCTTTGATTTCAAGTGATATACCTTTATGTCACTTCCTGTGGCATCATCCATTGTTGTTAGTGACAATAAAATATTATTGACCAAAGTTTCAGCAATAAAAGCATTAAATGTATATTTGCTTTAATCCTCTTCTATAATAACATTTCCTACGTTTATTAAATGTTCGGAATTTCGGCCGATTCTACGGAACAATAAGTCAACAGTAAAATAATTGAACGGAAAAAAATATGTACTGCTTAAATCATTTTCTAAAATAAATTTTTCTTTAACAACTGACAGTTTGATTTAAAATACGTCAAAGTTTTCTTAACTTAAAACAGGTCAAAAAAGTTTATTTCTCTTAACGTCATTCCCGTCAATTTATAACAAATAATAAAGGATTCTTCTATTTATTATGTTTTCGATTTGCAGAATTGAGCTGTAATTTGAAAGCCCTCTCAATATGTAAAAATCTTTGCTCATAAAATAATTTAATTGCATATAGTTCTCTTAACTTTTGACATCATTTTTCTATTAAAAAAGAATTATCTACCAAAAGACAAATAAATTATATGACTTTTTAGCCTAGTTAAAGCCTAGTGTGAGGTAGAGATAAGCCCCCCAGCCATTATAAAGTAAAAGTGCATAATAGCACTAACTCAAGAACAAGAGAATCTACCAAAATACCATGAAAATCTTATACATATTTACACTTTCAATTAGGAACCTCGCATTGTATATATACTATAAAAAAAATATATACATATATATATATAATATATATATATATATATATATATATATATATATATAAAATACTATAAAAATATTGTATATAGTTAGACTTTCAATCAGAATTTACATGGATTATGTATAGAAATTAGCACTTATATGTTTATACATATACGTATGTACATATTATGTATATATAGATACGTATATATATATTTATATGCATATATATGTATTCGTATTTATATTGTCAGCCATATATTTATATTTTTATATATATAAATGTAACATAGGTATTAATTTAATATAATATAAAAATGAAATGTATGTAGTTATATCACTATATATAATATATACATTAATATATAAATCACATTTCATAGTGATATAGTAATATATTATAATTGTATTATATAAAATCCGGGACATCAACATTAACAACATAAACTGAAAATCTTTCTATAGGTAACTTGTCATATAAACTATTAACTGTAAGTTGAAATAATCAATCTATCACATCTTTTATACATGCAAAAACTCTATTATATTTAGGTGAAAGTATCTGGACCGGTCACTGTAGAAGTTAGGAATTCAATCTAACTGTGCTTTGGGAGTATCAGGCATTAATGCACAAGCGAAAAAAACCTCTAGGAGGGTATTTCATGCATCATAAAGATTCAAGACTAGTTTTTCAAGTCTTTCATTAAAGAAATCGGATTTAGAGAAACACTCTAAACCGAGTAAAGGGCAGAATAGATCATTTAGGTCGCAGTGCGCAATTCCTTCTTTTAATAATAATAATAATAATAGGTGAAAGTAAAAGGCCTTTCTGTTATATATACAATGTAGCTAGTTCCCATTTGTCATTTTTCATATAATTGTTGTTATTTTAATAGTTCTCTTAACCGAATAGAATATTGGTCCCGTTAAAGTCGATTTTAATTTTTCTTATCAATTTTACATCATAAACACAGCATAATGATTTATAAAGTTGATTTTCTTTATAAACATAATATTTATAATTTTTATGTTATTTATAATATTAATTATTAATATTTATATTAATCCTATTATCATTGATAATAGAAGTAGTCTAATTGTATTATATAAATCACTTGCTTTCTATCAAAGAACTCCATCACATTGGCGTTGGTCGAAACCCATTTAGAGACACCTTGGGACAAGTGTCTGTCTAGTGTAAGACCGAAGCAAAACAAAGCTGTGCTGGACATATGAATGTATTCAATATCCCTTCTTAGGATAACACAAAATAATTTGTTTCATAGTAGTGCCATAGCTTCGCTACCTCTACGTCAAGATTACTGCACACAGTTCCACAATTGATTTCTTGCCACAATCTTATCAACCTAACGATATATAACACTAATGGCTTTATTATACAATAAGGAGAGCCACTGATTTTGTATTGCGATATATGATTGCATTGTGAAATACTAATAGAACTACTCTAACATAAAACCTATTTCAGTCGATTCTCTTTTTATTATTTACGGTATTATTTACGTTGAAACCTTGTTATATATACCAGTATATACCATTGGTATATATACCAACAATATACCAATAATATACCATTAGTATATATACCAGGTTATATGTATTACTTGGAAGGAGACGAAAGAAGTATGTAAATTATTTTATTTCATACCACAGATGGTATGAACAGATGTTAATAGATGTTAATATCATGCTGTCGCTGCTTTAAGTATTCTCGGGTACTGTATGTCTTTTCTGTTGAGCTTATAGGGTTTACAGGCTATTGATTTAAAATTATAGGTTATGTTCGATATACATTTTGCTTTATAATAAATATTTAGTAACTATTGTCATGCAATAATTTTTTTAAATTGTTAAAAACCATTTATTATAAAAAGCTTGATTAAATCGAACAAAAGTTAAATTATATATTATTATAAATTATATATCTCCTGGTAAAGAAAATAATGTATGCTCAGTAGGAAATTTCTAAAGTTGGTAGTATTGGTAGTTGGTAGTGTTCTAATAAACCTGTAAGCACTATTATCGATACATTGCATGTGTTTCGGCAGATTCCGTAAATGATACACGCGTTACTGAGCAAATTTTAATTAAAAGATCCTGATTCAAGATGGTAAATTCATAATTATTATTTAATTTTGCTTAAATTTATTCTAACATTTCTTAGAACACAACAGGATATTTGACCAAAGATGTTGTCGCTGACGCTTTGAATAAACTACATCAAACCGGTGGAAAAATGTCTATAGCGGCCGTACTACGAGAAGTTACAGAGAATCACACCGCTGTACCTCTGAATCCCACAACTCGACGGATGATTACATGGGTCTTAAGCGCAATGATGACCAACGGACAACTGAAATCAACGTCTGTTTATTATTTTGAATTTGGGAACCCAGAATTTGCGGAGGAAACAAAAAGTGACGATGAATAACAACAGCAGTTACTTTTAATATACAGTTTATCCAATTTATATTTTTGCAGTTTATATTGTTAGTATGAAATATGTTTAAAAAAATACTACGCAAAGTAAATGTAAAGGAAAGTTTTTTAAAAACTTAATAAAAATTTGATTGTGTGAAAATTGAGGATAATTTTAGTAAAAGAACAATGGTATAGACAGTACGGATTAGAGGATAAATCATCTAGATTTAGTAGATTTATCCTACTCCGCGAAAGAACAGTAGATTTATCCTACTGCTCTTCCGTAGAACACTACGGAAGAACACTGCAAAAACGCTACCAATAAAAATATTCTCCAGTATATTAACGCTAATCCGTCTCTGTCACAATCTACGTCACGGACACATCATGTCTTTATTATCCAATTACCTTATTACCTTATTGTAAAAAATTATTCCTTACGAATTTTCCTCTTACTATTCTTCTGTGATGGTACTTTGGAGTGAAATTTGTGAAAATAATGTTCAAAAATTAATAAGAAAGAGATTTTCTATATTTGACATATGCATTTTTTAAAAATTTTTCCTACGTAGAAGATAAGTAGGCTTGAGAGAATTTTTTTTTTTAAAAACATAATTGTCATTTCTTAGAATTTCATATCAATTTGCCTTTTGATGTATTACGTTGCAATATTTATCGTTCAATTTATTTTGCATTGAGTTATTTGCAAAATTTGTTGTTAATCATGGCAACTCCAAATAAGTCCGATTGCACTAAATTACCTTTAAAGGAGTCCGATGAACCTAGTTCTAGCGGTATTCCTCCAGCGCCAGTGTTGTTGGAAGAGGAACAGGAGCAGGAAGAAGTTGTAGTGCCTTGTAATGAGTCGAGCAGTGAAGAGGATGAGGAATACTTTGATTCCTCTCGCGAACCAAGTACCGATGATGAGACTGACTCTGACATTGAATCAAACAGTGGCTCAGATTCAGGTAAGTAGTCGTTAATATTAATTTTAGTTTTTGTTAAATTAAAAATATTGTTAAAAATAAAAAAAAATATGTTCAAAAGAATCCATACATATTGCCCAACCAACTAACTAAGCAAATTTTTGTGGTGGATGGTGATGGATTAAGTCCGAATTCCATGGTGTGCATGACAAAATCAATTACAAAACCAAAATATATATAATTAGTCAAGTAGGTAAGTTGCATAAATTTAATATTAAATTCATCTCAGAGCTTCAAATTTTAACAATTTCAGAGTGAGTATGCAGACGGATTAAACCAATGCAGCTAGAAACAGTCCATAAACAAATTTGTACAAATTTTATTTCAATTGTACTATTTTGTTAAATTTGAAGTAAAGGCAACGTAATACATAAAAAAAAATAGTTTCACTATAAGTTTGATTTATACAAACACAAAATCATATCTACAAAATCATAACATGACATTACTTGCGTTATTTCTTAGTGCTTGTCAATGAACATTGCTGTTCGCAAGTTACATATCACAGCTTTGCTGCCTATGCATACTGATAATAATGTTTTATATGCATAGTGTGAATATAAGTAAAGATACGACACTGAAAGAAACAATAAGAAAATACACTGTAAAACCAGTGTTTCAAACAAACTTCTAGTGTTATGTTGAGACTAGTTGAGTCAGTGCACTTAAACACTTTTACTCTCTATTAACTGCCAGGTCTCTTCATAACCTCTCTCTATGCCTTGACTGATTATTGTTTATCACTTCAACAGAGTAAGCAATAACTGACCTCAGATCTGCATACCTCCCCGAAGAGCCTGTAACCATTCTGAGATTTGATAACGCGGTATTGGTAAGCCTGTTAGTTTTCGTAAATAAATATACCCAAACCTGATTAGTTGGAGTAATTATTTTATTATATGTTTGGATATGTTTATATGGATATGTTTTATCATGAAGACAAATACTTGTTTGGGGAGCTACAGTAATTACTAATCTTTTATCTGCTATCTCTTACTTACATATTGATATAGTTCAATGAGTATGAGGAGGATTTGCAGTTGATAATGCCACATTAACTCAATTTTTTATCCTTTATGTATTTTTTGAACGGGTTCATCATGATACCTTAAAAAGTATTCTCAGAGCCTGGTTTTGTGCAAATTCTACTTGGCGAATAGTAGTGTTTGAGGCCTTGCTGAACGCACTGTATTGGAACAATAAGACGATCATCGAAAAATGGACTAAATAAAGTGAATAAATATGCTATAAACACACTCCCATGCTTATATCTTTGACACTGATCAATCAATCGGATTTGAACGACTAAACAATTATTGTGTTTTGTTTAATTGCAACCCTGAGAGTCCGTAATAACTTTTTTACTAATGCATATATATAAATCCGCCATATGCTCTTATTAAGAGTGGTAATACTAACCAGAGAATAAATATAATTTATATCTATTATAAAGATATTGTATGAAGAATATTTTTAAACTCATTCAGTTATAACTAAAATCATAATTTCTTTTTAATTTATTTAATCTATAGCATTGAAAAATTTTACTCCATCTAATATTTAAGTAAAAACAAATATTATGGAACCGAAATGGTTGTGACCCAATGAGAAAGATATACCGGCGAATAACTTTTTCCATTTATTAATTTTAAATTTATTCGTTTGAATTAGTTAAGTAAATATTAACCATTCTTAAACCTGTAAAAAGAGTTAAAGACTCAATAAATATTTGCACTAGTAATGGTTAAAAAAAATATTTAAGCACTTTTTTTAGAAGATAGATCTGCTAAGTTGATTGTAATAATGTTCAAGTAAACAGATTAATAAAGAATAACAGTTTGCTTTGGCTTTGTCGAAGCTTTAGCACCCTTCACACAAACAATTAAATTGTAAAAAATTTATTTAGTAAATTTAAACTCATATCAATGATATCAACTCCTAACCACGTCAATTGAATATATCATATTGGGATATATTGAATTGATATTTATTCGCTTTAATGATAAAATTCTTCAATGCCATTGATGTGAAAAATAGGTCTTTCAAATATTGAAGACCTTTTTAAAACTATTCCTACATATACCTACCTATATGTAAGACTATTGGACTCACCTTTAACTGCTTATATACTATTTTCTTACCGTTTTTATCATATACATAGATACATAATATTTGCCAACATAAATATATTTTTGCAAAGCCATTTAAATAACGTGTTATAAACAATAATTATATCACTTCTTAGTATATCAGATATTAACATAACTAGAAGAAACAATGTTCCATATTAAATCTATTGTGCTATTGCTTGAGACAGTCTACTAAGCTGTACTAAATTACAACCATTGTTGAACAATATTACTCAGCTCAAGACTTAAGTCCATATAGCCTAAGCGTACCGAGAAATAAAGTTAGAGAGCACTTATTTACTGCTATGATAAATCAAGAATTATAAGCCATCAAGTGAGTAAACATCACACTTGAATCGAAGATTGTTAGAATCCATATCTAATATAGATATGGATTCTAACAATTATTATAGTATATATAATACATTATATTACGCTATAAACAAATTAATGACATATTTCTCATAAAATAATAGAACTATTCTCATAGTTAGTTATTGACGTTCAAGAACTTTTTGGATTTATATGGACTTATGAACCTTACATATGTATAATATGTGAAAAGTATCTAGAGTTCTTAAATAAAATAATAAAAAACAATCAATGAATTTAAATGCAAGTGGAACAGAAGTTACTATGCCAGCGTATGACCTAGGCATCCATGCATTTCAACTCCTTCAGTAAATATTTTTTTACCGCCCCAATTGATTTAAAACAAAGTAGTCATTTTAATTTCGGGAACAGAAAAAAAGTCAGCGGGTTGGTGTAATCCACTAAGATCTATAAAGCAGATAACATGAAAGGAGTCACAAGTGAAATACATGAGCTAGAATAGCGATAGGTAATGATTGATTAAGGGTAGAGAGTAAAAGTGGATTGGTGATGGGTGGAGTTTTCGGTTCTAAGAGCGGCCTAGTATATGTCTCAAGGCTACTTTTCCACCACCACGACAAAGTGTCATTTACCACCCTCCCAAAGGGATTTTACAAGTAAGTACATATGACAAATACAATATGACATTTGTAGGATTGCAGAATATTTATAGATATATTTACAAAAGTGACTCCTTTTAACACTATAAGTTAGAGATCAAACCTATCATGGTAATGCTCAATGCATGATAAAACTACACTTCTTCGTTAGAATAACTGACTACTCTCACTGTAGTCTAATTGTGTGGAATACAGTACCAAAAAACTGCAACTCAACCATGTGTACTACTTCAGAATGCATCAACTTTCGACACTTCTAGCTAATGTAGTCAGCTACTAAGTAATAGTACGAAGTAATTGATAATTGGGCATAACATAGTCCTACCAATTTTGACAAGTGACATGACTGACTGGATGGACCCTAGCACAAGTGAAACGGTGGTGTCTTGGTCTATGCTTGTACTACACCATTCATTTGGAATTGGACTAGTTGGGCGAGAAGCTATACAAAACATTTTTCAGGTCGCAGTGCATGTACAGTCTATTCATAATAATAAAAAAACAGGCAACTCATTTTTGAAATATTTTTTAAGCGCACTTTTTAAATTATAAATTCCCAATAGTTTTTACAGATAATGTATAGCATATAGCCTGTGAGTGTATTGAATTAAAGAAACGCTTATAACAATTACAATATAGCAAAAGGAAATTAACTTAATTAAAAAACACTATTATTAAATTCTTTTGGTTATTTATTGTAGACAACAAATTTTATTAAATTTAAAATTCTTGGATTTTCGTGTTAGAAAACATGCATTAAATTTTTAAAATAATTTATATTTAAAAAATGGCAAGTAAGTTTACAATGACCAGTATTCTTAATATTAATCTGAATAACATGAGTATTGCGTGTAGAAAAGATGTAGTATCTCAACGTTATGCTTGTATAATCAATATATTGTAAAGTCAAAATCTCATATGATATGCGCCATTTATGTTAATAATCATTAATCTTTAATAGCTACTAAGTAAAAATCTTAACACTAAATTCTAAACTATTTAAATTTTTAGTCTGCAAATTTATAGTGGTTGTTTTTTATCAGATTCAAGTACTAAAAGGTGGACAACAATCAGGAGCCACTTCTGCGAAGAGAAAAAAATTAACATAAAGCAAAAAATTAATTAAATTTATAGTTAAATTAAGTAAGCTTACTATCGGTGTGTTCCCAGCCAACAATAGCTCCTAAACGTTTATTTTCAGTCTTTAGCCATTCATAGAGTGGTGCAAAGTATTCTAGTAAAGCAGCTGGATTCATCTCATCATCACCAGTAAATTCTTCGAGTACAGGTTTCCAATGCTTTGAATTGCCAACGGTCAGAAATTTACTATAAAAAATTAGAAATAAGTTTATTTATTTAATAATAAGAAAAATTGTGCAACTCATATTTTACATTACCTAAACGCTCTGCCTGCCGCTTTGTTGTTAAAGAAGTCGCAATTGTCCAAAGGACGGTTAATATCGTTAGGTACATACTGTTTGGATAAGGTGCACAATGCTTTATAAAATTGAAATTGAAAGATATGCGCTGCAAAGTAACGCAAATACTCAACATCCGCGTCAATATGGTATTTTGCTGGAGGATCAAAGTCACGATCAGTACGCACTACTGGTGGTTCAACGCCAGTAAACATAGAACGCATACGCCAGAAAGCGCAATTCCAAGTTGATTCATCAATTTCATCACGAAATACAGAATAACGATATTTATCTAAGGTATATGCGAAAGGCAGGAAAACAACTTTTTTCAATGCCTGCGATTTGGAAAAAGGAAAAACATTTTTTTTTTAATTTATAAAATCTTCACAAAACTAATTTATATATAATTACCGTTTTGAATAATTCATTTATGCGTCTTTTCGCATCCAATTGACCTGTTGGCGACAGTCCAATTGTCTTCAAATGTTTAGGTGTTGATACTGACAATGCAATCACATCACCAACGGCTTCATGAAAACCGGGATTAGCTGAAGATCTATAGGCTACTGGCTGGTTTTCATATTGCAAATAATATTGTATGTGTCCCAACTCATGATGCACCACATACAAATAGTGTGTATCGACTTCTGTGCACATTTTGATACGTACATCGCTATCTTGTAGCATATCCCAAGCTGATGCATGACAAACAATTGGTCTATCGGTGGGACGCTTCAAAACACTCAAATTCCAAAAACTTTCAGGTAATGGACGCATATTAAGTGACTTAAAGAATTCATCACCTAATTGAAACATTTTTTCTACTGTATAATTTTGCTTTTCCATTTCAGATGTAACATCTAAAAATGGCACCTCCGGGTAGGGTGTATACAATTCCATTGCCTCATCCCAATTTTGAGCCCACATGTTTCCCAGTAAATGCATAGGAATATTTCCATTATCGGGCACCGTTACATTGCCATAATGTTCATTCAAACGATGACGTACATACGCGTGAATTGCACGGTATAATGGTAATATTGCTTTATAGGCAGCATCCAAATTTTCCTCGAATTCATTATCTTCGTAAAAATGTAGCCAATAGTCAGCATAGGACATAAAATCTATTAAAGTAAATAAAAATAAGCATAGGTGTTTAAAATTTTTTTAATATAAAATAAAATTCTAACATGAGGTCGTCATGAAAAGATACATTACAAAATATTGTTAATCACATCTGGGAGGCATTCGTCAACCACGATGACCAAGTGCCGTTCATCACCTCCCAAAGAAATTTTACAAACAGAGCCCAGCGAATTCCAAAATTCCAACAATAACACAACCTAATTATATCAAAATCGGTCTTCAATATCACAAAAGAACTTGCAATATCAACACAAAAACGGGGTTAGATTAGCTTAACGCGATTGCGAGAATGTAATCCAAAGCACTTAAATCACGGGAAAATCATTTACGATACCACTTGATCTCTGCTTTGAGAGATTTTTTCTATCAAAACCAGATAAACAGGAGATCCATTGTGGTAACACTTAACCGGTATTAATTGCTATTAAAACGAAGAAAATACTTACAGATAACAAAGAGATTTATTGTGATAACACTTAATATCTAATATTTTCTGTCAAACTGTAAACTAAGTGTGGATAATCAGAAAATACCGACAATTTTCAATTCAATTCAATTCCAGGAACGGTCGGGTTTACGTCCTGGTGTCACATATCTATTTGAACTACAAAATCCAGCTCCCCTTCCTTACCACGACTATAGGTTATAATAACCGCTGAGATAATAATAATAAGACTAATAAGTAATAATGATAATAAGAACAACTATTGTGTTAGAACTTTAAGTTTGTAAACAGAAGTAAATAAATGTTGAATAGATCTGAAAATAATAATAACTAAGATTACAAATGGACTAAAAACACCTATAACGTCTATTGCCAATTAAATCCTCATAATCTGCTCTTATCAGATTAAACACTTTTGTAGAAATTCTAACTTTGTGTATAGTATTCCAATTAGATGAAGACGTTGGAATACGAGCTATTAAAGCTCTTTAAAAAATCTATGAGTGATAAGTATATTGATCATAAAATTTTGATTATTGTTATAGGGTTTCTAATATGATTTGTGAGCCATTCAACCAGGTGATGTCATAACATAAAATCCGAAAATTTTTGGTGGTTTTTGCATATTAGAATTGCAAAGACAATAAAGCTTACACCTTTGTATGTATTCAAAAGTGTTTTTGTACCTTAAGCTATATGATATAGGCAGTAGAAGCTGACAACGCAAGTTAGAACTCTTACAAATTCGAATTGTCCAGAAATTAGAATCAAAAAATTTCATTTTGGCTCTAATTATTGAGCAAGTTCGCCTTTCTGTTTTTTTTTTTCAAGCTTTATATAAAATAGTTAGTTGATAAATGTTATTGTTCATACTTTGTTTCAAAAAACTAAAAGGGGGAATTCCCAAAATGCGCACTTTAATGAAACTCATTCAAAAATGCAAGTTCAAAACGGATCTGAATATGAGTTTAATACCGATAATGATACTTCAAATAACATTGAAGTTGACCTTCCCAATCCCACACCACACCACACCCACACCACATCCCACACAAAATGTGTCTCATTTTGAAGCGATTGAAAGCGTTAATAACTTAATAAATCGATGCAAAAAGAATGACTCGCTACCTACGGACCACATGACCAATCTTTTAACCAATCTTTTAACTCTTCATAACGATAACATTGTACTTAAGTTGACTAATGTTATAACAACTATAAACGTCCAATCTGTGCAGTACTTTGTATTGAACCGCGATCGCATCTAGTCTGGACAAGCCTGTTTTATACAATTATACTTAAGAAGGATTAATTTCAATTGTAAAATAAAGTTTTTATGCAGAATTTTAATTTTTTTTGATAATTTTTTATAGAAATAAAAAAAAATCAGAAATTAAAACTTTTCGGAAATTCGAACTACCCGAAAACTCAAGTGGTTCTAATTTGTGAGCTTCTACTGTATTGCTATCTGGATGAAATTCAAACTGCTAAATTTTGAGAAAACATTTTATGTATTGGTGCTATTTAGAAAACTTAGTACTTAACAATTAGAAACTATGTAACTTAGCAATTTCAACATTCATTATTGATATTCAAGCCTGCAGTCATTGAGGTAACTGGACGGTGATAAACCGTCATGGCTCCATAACCGCTTTAATGGTTATAGAGACACATGCTTTCAGGACACAATGGTAACTAAACACTGGACATTTTTAAGCAATTTCTATATACATATATAAAATATACAAAGCATTGGAGAGAGTTAAATACTTAACATTACATTAAACAGATATTTTTTTTACTTACTATTTAAATGTGCAGCCTTCGAGCTTAACTGAACGTATTTGGTAAAGTTTTTACGCATTGGTGTGCCAGCTTTGTCATACCATTCTTTCCAATAATGTTTCAATTCTTCTGGATCGCGACTGTTTGATAAACGTTCTTGTATGTGTGGTTCCAATGTTAGTGAACAATCACTTTTGTTGAAAAACGAACAAACAGTTGTGGTTGCATAATTACTCTGCATTGCGGTTATTGCATTCTTCAGTTCTTTATAATCTTTTTCACTTAGTGCGTCGAAACCGACATTAGAGAGGATACGCGCCTGCCGCAGTAGATCTTCATCATCAATTTTATCAAGATATTTTTGAAGTTCTGGTGCGAGCTCCTTATTAAGTACAGCATTTGCAGTAGCTACATTTATCATAGTCTGACGATTCGCTTCAGTAACATTAATATTATAATTATATGCAGCTATGAAATCCTGACGACGACGCTGTCTTAGTAATTCACTTTCACGTTCAATAAAAACGCGCGCCTCAAAGTCAAGTGCACTGCAAGTATCCTCGCAACCAGATGGCATTGACTGTTGGAAGCAAGAATATACACATATAATACATTAAATATTTATGTGAAATTGTTTATTTAGTGTTATAAAATAATAACTCACCTTTACTGTAGCGAAAATGGCAACAATTGCCAGTAATAGCAGCAAAGACCGCATCATAACAATGCCGTTGTTCAATAAATCCGTGGTATGAATTCGCACAAGAATATAAAAGCCAAACTGCGTTCCAATTCCTAGTATTTAACTCTAAAAATAAAATAAATTATATTTGAGAAACGTTATACGTTATCAGTTTGCTTAAAACATTTATAAAACATTAAGTTCAAAGAGGTTATCACACTTTTTTGTTTTTTTCTGTACCATTCAATTTTTTTCTATGCAATATTTTGCAAAATGCATACGTTCATGTGTTTTGTTCATGTAAACTTAATGCACTTTAAATTTGAAACATTTTTATTGTGTAGAAAATTTATTTATAGCCGAAATGAAATTTTCAAAATGTACAATAAAACTTTATTATTATTTTTAGAAAATTTGTTTGTATCTGATTTTCTGTTTTTGTATTTCTATTCGCCGGTTTTGACAGTTCTATAAGCAACATGTTGCTATTACAAATATGTCGATAATACAGATTTTATTGGAAAACTTTATATAAACATGTTGTTAAGGGGTTTGAATGAAGAAAAAAACTTGAGTTTATTTAAAATAATAATTATAATTTTTTAAAATTTATATTTTTTTTTATGTTTTTAATTAGTGAAAAGATTTATTACAATTATTGACTATTATTTAAGTTTATAAAGTTTTGTGAAACATTTGAAATGCGTTCAGAAGTGTGCACACAACTGCTTTTGTTGCCAAACAATTTAATAAACATAAAAGAACTTTTTAATTTCTATTTAAAATTTTATTTTCATTTTTTTAAAACAATTTAATTATTTTAAAACATAATATACTGCTAAAACCGTTAAGCAGTACAACAAAATATTCAAAATCTTAACTTTGAAATTTTGTGTAAGTACTTTAGAAACATAGCACAGCAATTACACAAAATGAAAGTTCATGTTGCATTGACGCAATAAACATTTTTTCAATTGCAACAAAAAATAACAGACCGCAATAATTATTCTATTACAATCCTCAGGTCTCACCTTAAATTAGACTGTTTATTGTTTATTGTTTATTGCTTATTATTTATTTTTTTATTTAATTAAATTAAAATGTACACTTTAATAAAATAACTTAAACCGAAACAATTTTAATTAGCACTAAATAAAATTCATTAATTGGCTGACATTATATATATAAAGCATCCAATAGACTTTTATAAACAATAGACATATATAGCGAAATATGAATTAAATACAATTGAGTCTCTGTTATTATCGGACTTGTACCGCTGTCTGTGCTCTAGTAAGTCATAGCAAGCGTAGACTCGTAGTGATAAGCCCCGCCGTCACAAAATATTATCTTCGACATGTCGTAACTTATGCAAATTAATTATTAATTCACGTCCAACTGAATTTTTTCTCGTTGTTTTAACGTGCGTTTTCTTGTAATTGTTGTATACGGAAATAAAAATAAGAAGATTAAGGAAAACCTACAAAAATTGTATATGAAGACCCACAGTTAGACTTACTTATGTCTATTGTGCACCTGCGTTCCCCATCTATTGGTTGGAAAATATTGGTTATAGAAGAAGCATGCAGCTGTCTGCAAACGAAAAATAAAGCTGGTTTTCTTCTACATATTAGAATTATTTGAATCCCTAGAAAAGTTAATAGGTTCACCGGTTTTACTATAAATATTATAGAGAATGCTCCAACAGAAAATATATTTAACATGACAATTGAAGAAATAATACGTAGATCGGAAAAGCATATCTATATTTGAATGATCATATTCAGGGAGTACTAACAATACTTGATATACCGAATTGTAGAAGGCGTAAACAGAACATAAGCAGCTGTAGAGAAGTGCTGCGTTAGGCCGAAACATGAAAGGGAATTGTAGTGACCAATCACACAAGCTTATTTTTTTTTAGAATCTTACTTAGCTCCAGAACTTTAGTCTAAAGAAAATTTTAGATTTCATTGAAGGTTCATAGTGATTTTTAAACCTATGAACTTCTGTACAGTAACATAATGGGCCTATAAGGTCTAAGTCGGGTCGTACCTTAGGGTCGTCGGTATGACCTTACGTAAACCTATTTTGAAATTGTGCAAACTCTATATTACATATCGAGTCATTTATAATTATTATGTATTGGTTACACAAGTAGTAACGTCTGACAATTGCAATACTTAGAGTACATTGCAATGATCAAGACGTATATGACTGTGTTTGGAACTTTTTTGTGTTATGAAATGTCGGACTAGAAACTATGACTAGGTCGCTTTTTTTTTAACGAATAAAGCTTTTAACATAATAACGCATATAACTTTCCAAATACAAAAAAATACAAAAGGATGTAAAAAATCCAAACTAATATAAGCAAGTTAGAATTTATCGAGAACGAGGACTGGACAGAGTCTAGATCAAAGTATGAAAACTCGCGACGATGCTGACAGGCCATTTGACAACTTCACCGAAAGATCAAGTATTTCTTTTAAAGTAATGCAGAAGTTACAGATAGAAGGGGTAAAAAGAATTAAGTGAGAACTTTTTTTTGCAAATGCCTTGGTCTGGCAACATTAAGACTTACTACTATGAAAGTCTACTAACAAATGGACCTGACTGTCTTCTACAGATTTTCAATATATTAACTATTATATTAACTATATATTAGCAATTAACTGCGCAGGTTCGTTTAAGAACTTAGGTTTTCATCTGATAATAAAACGATGTCTATCCGTTACTTATACAGTAGACGAAGCTCTGTAGCCAATAAAACCATCAGGAAACAACCAACGCATATAAGACTGTTAGATAATTTATCGTAAAAAAAGAAGTCCATCTAAAAGTTAGGAAATTTAAATATATTGATTATTGGTATTCGTAAAAGATATTTTAGTTAACCATAGAGTCCATGAAAAGTGTGTAAATCCGTAATAAGAAAAGAATTTGGGTTTCCATAAAATGAGTCAATTGAGCGTTTCTTTCTATGTATGCATATAAAAGCCATATTAAATCGGTATGCGTGTACCCATTTTACGAGTACTTACTCATATCTATTAATTAGCAAAAATGTAGAACATTCTTGTTAGTCTAAATAATCTCATATTCAAGATTTCACTGTATCGACCAAGTTCTAAATCTTTTTTAAATAGCAGACCCCGTAGTACATGATAAATATTTCAGAAATGTTAAAAAGTATCAGAAACATACTCTGCCTATATCAACAAAATTGGGTCTATATAAAATATATATAAAATAATTAATAAGGAAATATTCTGAATTACTGAACTGCAATATAGTAATATATATTGAACCCAAACTGATGATGAACTAATATCATGGTTGTTGGCATAGTCATATGAGTCACATAGTCACATAAGTTGAAAAACTTTTTCTCCAGAAGTAAGATCAACAGTAAAATGATATTCCCTACACACATTTTTATGTATTTGAACGCCTTAACCGGGAGGTGATGACTAATGATTTATTTCTTCTGAAAATCAGAAAATATCGATAGAATTAAATAGATTTTTGCAAAAACATATGAGTTCCAATTCCTAACGTTGAGTCCCACATGTAGAGAAAAGAGGGGCATGTAAATATACTCCATTAAATTTTAAACAAAGTTGATTAGATCTTGTCGTAAGAATGTTTGTTGAGAGTAAGAAGATTGTGGAATTTACATGAAATTTTCCTATTGATATTACGTGTTTGAGGCATTGATCAATTTATTTTTCAGAAACGCTTTCCAATTAAAAAAGCTGGTTATGAAATTAAAGTTGGTCCACTTATCGAAGCTGCTAAGTTTGTTATGAAAAAAACAGAAAAAAAATCGTTAGTCTTTAGAGAAGAAATAACACTGGATTTATTTGCTTACCTTCTCCCAACGCTCGTTGTAGATGTTAAGCAGGGGGAAGTACTAATACTGGCTTAGATAATGAAGGGTATGTAAAGTGCCAATACGGATTATTTCCTCATACGTAAGCAAATTGTAAATCCGGCAATGCACATATACTATTACAGTCTAGTTCTGCGTAAGCATTTTCTTATATCACAAAATTTTTATATATATTCTCAAGTCATCCTTTGTATGAATATCATAGTCCCATATAGACTTCAGAGCACCTATTGTGTACGGTAAGGATTTTTTTAACATATCTAGAGCTGCACTTAACTTCAATTATCCGATATCAAGTTGCATCAGCTAAATTAAAAACACATTCAAAGTGTATTGGTCGCACTTCTTGGTGGAATTGGTACGATAAGTCGATAGCAATATATCCGATCAATACTGTAGCCGGGTAGTTTACATATACTAGACTGGCAATGATTTTTCAGAATCAGAAGCTACTAGATGTTATTAGACTAGCAATTGTGAAGTTTTTTAAGACATGAAAAAAGTATCGTGTGTTTGTGGTTCCGAACAGTAGCTCTCCCTCTCTCAATTTCTTAGTGAAGCAGGCAGGAACTTTGATAGGATATAGTTTGTCAATTATCATTGATGCTATGGCAAAAAATTAGGACATTTTGCATGTGAACTGGATAGTTTATCGATGTGGCAAATTGTGGAATTCAAACCTCCAATTCTAGAAGTGGTCCTAGTGTATTATATTTAAATCGATAACTCATAATGCTTGCAGTTTTATTTAATTTTATATAATACATTTTAATATTGATTTAAGCTTCAGCACTGCCCCCAGTTCATCGGTTTTTTCTTTTATTGCCCTTTTGTTTTGATGAAGTATAGAGCGCTATTCACAGGCCTATGAATTATAGGATTGATTTTCTTTCCCAGCTAATGTCGCTTCAGGAATAGTTTGCTCCTCTTCTTTTCTGTTTCTAACTGACGCTGTTGGATGACAGCTGCTTTACTGATTCTACATTTCGTCTGACGAGCGAAAATTCTGTGAAGTTGATTGTGGTCAATGCATCTATAGATTTTTATAGGGACATCGGTACTGGTGGCCTAAAATCTAGATAATTAATGTAAACATTGTTTTATTAAATTTTCAAAATAAAAATATACAGAATTTGAATTTATTTTAAAATTATAGATTTTATGAAAACTTTATATATAATATATTTTATATTTTTGTTTTAATTTTTTTGTAGTTTATTTAAAAATTGAATTAAACCGATTTAACTTCTTCCATATAAAACATTATATGCACACGTTTGCTATTTTAAAACTAGTAGTTAAAATAAAAATTTTTAAAAAATTAAAAGATAAATGAATTTTTAAATGTTTGTACTTTATTATTATTAATGTATATCTAGTTTTTTTAATAAAATTTGTATGATAAACAAAAAGTAATAAGCTTTTTTTTTCTTTCGCTTGCACTGTTTTATCGGCTGCTCGCAACAAGCAAATGTCAGAAATATATTGATACATTTCTGAAAAAATGTTTGAGTCGCTCACAAACGTCAAA